TTAAAATTAAACATTCATCATATTACACTTTGAACCTAAGAAAACTAGTACAATATATGTGTCTGATATATAATCTGTGGAGCATAACTGTGTTTTCCAGATTGTTTCAGGAGTACTGTCTGTAAATCTTTTTTAAAAAAATAGGATCCAGTCAACATTTGTATAGATGCGTTTGGTTGTTCTGTCTCTTTAATCTCTGAAGGAGCCCTATCTCTCATCTCTTTTGTTTCCTGTACCGCTGACTTGTTAAAGAACTTAGGCTAGTTGTTTTAGAGAATATGCTGCATTCTGGATTTTTCTGTTTTCTCATGATGTCATTTCAGTTGTTCCACTGCTCCGTGAATTTTCTGAGAGTGTTAGGTCTAAAGGCGTATTTAGATTAGGGCTGGACAGTTTTGGCAAAGGTAGTGTCCTGTATTTCTGTTGCATCCCCTCAAGTGGCATGCACTAGTTAGCTTCCCATAAGTGACACCAGCATTTGCTTGCTTGGTAAAAGTGGTGCCTCCCACATCTGCCATTGTAAGGTTCCTCTTTCCCTTTGATATTCGCAGCCCACCCTCCTCTGAGTAACTCACTTGGCACATTCATGTTTAATCTTTCAAGTAACCTTGTCTTAGGATCCGGCTGGAAATGTTTTAGCTTTGCTTACTATGCGAGAGTTGTAAAGGGCCAACCAGATAGCTCGGCCGACTAAAGCACCTGTTTATGTTCAATCCCTGGCGTGCCTCAATCCCTGGCGTGCCGTGCCAGCTCTGCCCCCAGGGCGCACCGAGATGGTGATTTAGACTGGGTATGGTGGTGCACCCCTGTAATCCCAGCTCTTGGGAGGCTGAAAACAGGAGGATCACTACAAATCTCATCTATGTAGTTAGACCCTGTACTAAATACATAAAAAAAGTTATAACTATTTGTTTAAGAAAGAGTGAACAAGATAAGATAATTTTTCATATGTGATTCAAGATTATTTCTAAAAGAATAATTACGCAAATATTTTAAAAACAGTGGTCCCTCAGTTTACAAACTTCATTTGTTTTATGATTTGGGGAAAGACAGTGGTGTTTGTGTTTGTATTGGAGTAATGGTTGTGGTCATGTTTGTCACCCAGTGCAGTTTGGAAATGGAGGTAGTTTTGCCCAACACTTTTGTTTGCAGACCAAACCAACTTGATTGCAAACAGAAGCATTAGCGAGCCAGGTATTACTGTATATATAAGGGGCCATTGTTATTACTTCAGCAATATTTATTTGCATTTGTTTTGAATACATTTGGATACATTGGTTTATTAAGAAAATAAGCTCATGTTTTGTATTTGTATAGTTTAAGTGGTATAGTCAAACTTTATAGTCATTGATACTTAATATGTATTGGCAAATGTTCATCACTTAAGTGCAAAGGAAAAGAAGGAGTACCTTTATACACTGATACTATATTGCCTGAAGATAATTTCCTTCTCTCCTGATAACTTCATGAATATTGTATCTTTTTGGAAGAGAATTTAGGAAACAATGAGTCATGCTTTGTGTAAGAGTTTTCAAATCCCAAAGTGCATCATCCAGCATTCATAAGTGGTTGTCTGAGTTGTGAGGCAGGCCTCTGGCACCCCCTTGCTGAAGACACTACTCTCAGATGTATCAAATATCTCAAATGCTTTTCACATGTATCAGTTTAAGTGTTCAGTTTCTTAACAATTGCCTTCTCTCTATAAATGTTAGATGACTAAACCAAATTCTTCAAGGAAAGTGAAATTTTAGTATCAAATGAATAAATCCCTTTAAAACTCAAACTATAAAAGGAGATACTCAATGAAAAGGTTATTTCAGTAAGCATCATTTCAAAATCTCAGATAACTTATTCATGAACCATATGTCCGGTTTATGAAAAATTAAGTCCCATTTACTTGTGGAGTCAGACTTTCAGGGCTTTGACTTGTTAACCTAATAACAGATTTTACGTCCAAAACTGCCATTAGTTAGGGCACAAAATCCACATGTAGTGTGCTGATGACTGTTTCGAGCTCCAAAAACATGTGTAATGCATCCTTAGCTGTCATGCTTTAAACATAAAGAAATACAAAGTAGCCCCTTCTGAGTCTCTGTTTTCTTGTGGCTTAGGCGTTTATAGTAGTATTTAAAAGCCCAACCTCAGGGGCCGGGGAGATGGCTCAGTGGAGTAAGCGCTTCCCTGGCAAGTGCAAGGACCTGAGTTCAATCCCCGGTTCCACAAAATAACTAACTAACTAACTAAATAAATAAATAAATATAAAAGCCCAACCTCTTTTATCTATCAGTCACTTTATTTTGAAGTATAACATTTCTGTGAAAAGGAACATAACAAATTTTTGGTAATCAGATTTTATTGGTACATTTTAAATATGTATAACAATCACATTCATCATAATGGACAATTTGTACCTGTGTATGATATAACTTGGTTTTTTCCACATTCTCCTACCCTCCCTTCGAATCCCTCCTTCCTTCCCCATTTGCATAAGCTTTGTTTCCATTTTGTCCTTGTTTTTTCATTTTTAAAAATTTTTCCGTTTTCTTCTCTCCCTCCCTTCCTCTCTTGTCCTCCTCCTCATTTGAATGTTTTCTGCCCGTTTCACAATACCGGTTACACATTTTGAGCCTTTTTACACTTTGGTTTCTCACATGAGAGAAACAATGCAGTATTTATATATGTGTGTCCGATTTATTTCAGTTAATGTGGTCTCACAGTGCATCCATTTACCTAGAGTGTCTCAAGCTTATCCTTTTTTATGGCAGAATAGTACTCCATTGTGTAAAAAGGCCACATCCTCTCTATGCATTCATCAGGTGATGGGCCTTGGGGCTGTTGTAAGATTTGGCTGTTAGGAACTGTGCCACTGTAAACATGGATGCGCATATACCACTGTGGTGGGGTGCGTCTGCGGGGCGGCGAAGATATCAAGAAGAGGAAGAGCCAGGTTCAATGGAACCTTTAATCCTAGTTTCTTGAGGAATCTCCACACTGATTTCCACAGTGGTTTTACCAGTCTACACTCGCATCAACAGTAAGGAAGATTTCCTTTTTCTGCATAGCCCTGCCAGCATTTATTATTGGTTGATTTCTTTCTGAGGTGAAATGGGATCTCAGCGCTAGGAATACAACAAATCATAAATGCGTGAGCTGAACGAATACACGAGCGGCACTATCACCTAGATCAAGTATAGACCGTCGCAGCCCCTCGGCAGCCTCCTCGTTCCTGTACCCTCCTTCCTCACCTCCCTTTAGGTTACTGTTGTCCTGGGTTCTAGCTCTGTGAATTATCTCGGACTCCCCCACCTGCGTAACACATCCAGCCTACCACCATTCTTTGGTGTGTGTGTCTGGACAGTTCTTTAGTAGTTTCTGATTGTAAATCCCTGTGTAGTTAGTGAGTTGTAAGAAGTTACTGATTTATCCTGGGAAATCTCTAACAAAAGTTATCCCTATAGAAGCTCCTTGGGGGGCCGGGGAGACGGCTCAATGGAATAAGCGCTTCCCTGGCAAGCGCAAGGGCCTGAGTTCAATCCCCGGTTCCACCAAAAAAAAAAAAAAAAAAAAAGAAGCTCCTTGGACCAAAATTAGGAATAAGAGAAGTATAGAGGGGAGCATCAGACCCATTTTACTGATAAAATATTTCATTTAGAATGCCTGTATAATCTTACTATTCTGGGAGACTGAGGCAGGAAGATTATAAATTTAGGGGTATCCTGGGCAATTCAGCAAGATTTTCTCTCAAAACAAAACAGGTCTGGGGATGTGGCTCCAGTGCAGAGGCCCTGAAATCAATCCCTAGTACTATTTTTTTTCTACAGTACAATTTAAAAAAAATCTTTTACAACCACCCTCCTTTTGGATGTAATTGGTAAGGTACCCTAGAAAGGCATTTTAGCCAGACTAACAAAGAGTTGGACAGTGTACTGATCACCAGGAAGCCTATGTTTGTGAAGGGTGTACATTAACACTTATATAATAGTCACTTCTCCAGTGAACTCACCATTCCGGAGCCCTCTGAGGAATGAAAAAATTTATAACAGCTTAGTCTTTAGAGACACTTCTAACAGGCCTGATTTTATGGTTTCCTGGTTGTAACACAGTATAGAAGGGTGTGACTGCTTGTTCCTGAACCAAAGCAGAAGTGATAGCTGACAAACCTGGTTGTGATATCACAAAGCCATTAAAATTAGAACCAAAAACTGAAAAGTGTTATAGCCTGGGAACAAGCAGCCCTGTGTACCGTCCAACCCCCAGGTGCCAGTGTGCATTAAGTAATAATGCTCATGCTGATGACCCAAAGTAAATGTGAAAAGAGTAAATTATGTTTGGTTAACTCCCCTCAAGGAAAAAAATGACTGTGAGAAAAAGGATTAGGAGCCTGGCTCCAGAGTCAGCTTCAATCAGCTAGGCCTTTGGTACCTACAGCTTTGTGGCCTGGGCAGTTTATTTCATCTCATCTGTAAAAGGAAGACACCAATATTGCTTCCTCATAGCATTGCTGTGAGGCTTAGGTGGAATTTGGGGCCACATTCCTTGTCAGCTCTAGGGTGACGAGAGCTATTAGCAATTCCTGGCACCATGGAAAATGATGAGGTAGAACATCCTTAATTTCTGGTTACAAATGAGGCATTATGTTTTAAAACCTTCCTTCAGATATACCAACTGGGGCCTCTCCAAATAAATATAGAACCAAAAATTAACTGCTTCTGTTTATTAGAAACAACAGAGATGTTTATACTTAGAAGAAATTAATAAAATGAATTAAAATGAGTGGACAAAGCCACCAAAGGAGAAAAAGGGAAGGTCAGAAGAGCTGCCCAGCCTGACTTGCTTCTCCCCAGTGCGCCAGCAGCATCCCAGCTCCTGAGTGTAACCCTATATCATGTGGGCCACGTCCTCTTCTGCCAGAGTGGGTCCTATGTACCAGAGAGGTGGAAAAAAATGAAAGAAATACGTGATGAGTTGTCTGCTTCTTTCCTTCCTTGGTGTTTATTTAGATGGCTAATTTATGAGGAGCCTGGATTTCAAGGTGTTCCTTTCATCCTGGAACCTGGTGAATACCCTGACTTATCTTTCTGGGATACGGACACAGCATACATTGGATCCATGCGGCCTATGAAAATGGTAAAAATGAAATGAAACTCATTGTTCTTGAAGGCAGTGATTTTTTTTTTTTTTTTTTTTTTTTAAATCAGCTTGACGTTGATAATTGACAGAATGTGATGTTGAAGCAAAAGGCTGGCTTTTTAAAAGACAGATCAGGTAGAAATACTAGAAATAATAATTTACTAGCCACTACAGATAAAAAAGTAGGTAAGAGTGTGTTTGTTGGCTTCGTGGCACCCTCAGTCCAGCACAGATGTAGACATGTACACCAAGCTTCAGCCAGTGTTAAAACATCAAGTAAGAATTAAAGATCCATGGGAAGGCAGGAGGAAAGATCAATAACATTCCAGCTTGTGGATGATATGACAAAAGGGGCATAATTTTTTTCTTTTTCTTTTGTACTGGGAATCAAACTCACAATCTTGCACTTGCCAGGCAGGCACTGTGCCACCGAGCTAAATTCCCACGTCAGTTTTACAATTTTAAGCTTTGTTTTCGGTTTTTTGAGATGGGATCTTGCTGTATAAACCCATGCTGGCATCAGACTTGCCAAGTAGCCTGGGCTGGCTTCAAACTCAAGCTCTTTCTATGACAGCTTCCAGCTTTGTGATAAATCAAATTTACTGTTAAAGAATGAGCAGATGCTGCCAGGTATGGTAGCTGGACTATACCTCTAATCCCACCACTTAGGAGGACTAGGCAGGAGGATGATGAATTCAAGGCCAGGCTGGACTATGCAGCTAGACCCTGTCTCAAAACAGTAGGTATGAGCAAGTGTGCAGAGCTGGGAATGAAGCAGGGCGTGCTGAGCCCAGTTGCACTGCAAAGTGGCAGCTAGGTGGGAGTAGTCACCTGGCTAGATGTCCAAATGAGTGTTGCCCTCTCCAGCCATTTGCCTTAGAAGTAGCCTGCTACTCCCTCTACCTTCTCTCTGGATTTTGTCTTGGTCTTTGTCTCTCCTGCTGAAGTGCAGATTTGGGGAAAAAACAAGCCGGGGTGCAAGGGGAAAAAACAATTCAAAAAATGGTTTTTTTTTTACTTTTTGGTTTTTTTTTAGTATTTTAGGGAAGGGTCTGCAGGGTGTTCAGGGTCTCACTACTAGATCAGACTCATAGTGATCCGCCTGTTTACAGCCTCCCAAGAGCTGGGATTACAGGCGCGCACCACCACACCCAGTCTCAATTACTGTCTCAGTGTGCCCTTGGAGTGGGGCTGGCACAGCAGGCCCAGGCATTGAACCTCCAGTCCCTGAGCCTGCTTGCAGGTGCTTTAATCCGCTGAGCTATTTGGCCAGCCCTGCATATCCCACATCGTAATAGGTGCTCACTGCTACATTTGTGGTGAGGGTAAGACCCATTACAGATGTTTCTCTTAAGAGCCAGTTTGAGACAAATTAGAAAGTTAGAGAGTTCATATTCTATCCTAATTTTTTCACTCCTGCCAAAGCATTTGGTTTATCAGTATACTTACAGGTCTTAATGCAAATGAGGTTTCTCTTTTTCCTTTCTTTCCTAAAATCTACTTTCAAAGGACAAAGTTTTGTTTGTTTTGTGAATGTATGAAAGAATTTCCCACTTTTTGAAGGCAGTTTGTAATGATGATTTTATTTATATACAGTAGGTCCCTGATTTACAACAAGTTCTGTTCCAGGAGAACATTCATAAGTTGGATTCATTCATAGGTCCAACAAAGCGAGTCTTACACACCTTTGACACAAATATACAATGTCAAGCGTAAAAAGCCAAGCACACAAAGTGTCTGACTTTACCGTATTACTGTACACTATCGTGCTGTACAGTAAGCACACAGCAGCACAACTATAAAGTGCCAGCAGACACATGATCTACTTCGGTGATTTGTTTATATCTATGAATGTTTGTAATGTGAGGTCCATTTTTTATTTTTTCATGTACTTAGTACAGGGTCTACAGGGTCTCACTGCACAGATTGGAGTCGTAGTGATCCTTCTCCCAAGCACTGGGATTACAGGTGTGTGCCACCACGCCCAGTCTCATTCGCTGTCTCAGCATGCCCTGCCGGGGACTGAACTCTGGTCCCTGAGCCTGCCTAAGCAGGTGCTTTAGTCCACTGAGCTATCTGGCCAGCCTCCATTTGTATTTTTGAAAGTTCACAACTTGAATATTTGTAATTCAAGGTCTTACTGTATTTTTTATAGTACTAGGTATTAAACCACGGGCCTTCCCACTGAACTACATTCCTAGCCTTTTTTTTTTTCTTTTTGAGATGAGGCATTACTAAGTCTCTGTGTTGCCCAGCCTGGATTTGAATTTGCAGTTCTCTTGCCTCAGCTTCAGAGAGGTAGAATCACAGACGTATCCCACCGCAGCCAGCTAAAATGATGATCAGTTCTGAAGTTTATAGTGTCTGAAAAGGATTACTTTCGAAACGAGCACTTCTTTGCTGTTGTATACACTCAGGTTTGCTGATAAAATCAGCCACATTTCTTCATAATTACAGTTCCTTGCTGCATTTAAACATCTTTGGCTGCTGTTTTAAGCTGTTAAAGGTATACTGCTGAAAAATACATCTTTATATTTCCCACAGCTGCTTTTAGCTCCTGACCCTTTTTTTTCTGTGGTACCAGGGATCAAACTCAGGACCTTGCCCTTGGCAAGCAGGCACTTATGCTGAGCTACATTCCCAAACTTTCTTGACCAATTTAATATTTTCATGCAATACTTTTTTTGGATTGTTTTTAGTACTTTAGATTTAAAAAAAAAATTATTATAAAAGTGTAACCATGCCCACAAACCAATCCTTTGGGATGTTTTATCTAATAGTTTATCTGACAGTCCAAGAACCCTTCAGATCATGTCGTGTGAGCGTCAGTAGTTTTGTAGGCCATGGGTTACGAGATCAAATGCCTCCAGGGTCTGGGCAGGAAATAAAAATGGGTGAGGCTGGCTGGCATTGAACCAAAGGGAGTGTTGGGGACAGCCAACCCCAGCCTGAAGGACGGCCCTGTTCAGGATTAATCATTACAGGAGGTAGAGGGTGCAGCCTGTGAGGACTTAGGCCTAGAAAAGTTAGGTCTTAAATTGTTTTTCTTTCTTTCTTTTTTTTTTTTTTTTTTGTTATCAGAGCTCTAACTCAAGACCTTGTGCTTGCCAGGCAGGTGCTTATGTTGCTAAGCTATATCTCTGGCCCCTTAAATTGTTTTTTAAGAGAAGTAGGAAATACAGATTTCTTTAATGAGAAATTTTCTGAGTTAAAAAAAAGCACTCCTCGCCTCACCTGCACATTCAGCTTACAGACCAGGCTGCCAGGGAGTCTACTCTAGATCGGCTTTCTCATGTCTTCGTCGGTTGGTAATTTCAGCACCTTCTCGTGTAAATTAAACTGAAATGTAATCACACTGCAAGGTTCAGTCGCTATGAGGTACATAAAATGCTAAGAGAGCAATGAAAAACCATTGTTCTTAATGTGTTATTTTTCTTTTCAGGGTGGCCGTAAAGTTGAATTCCCTAAAGATCCAAAGGTAAAAGAGAGTGTGTGTGGGTGTGTGGGTGTGTGTGTGCACGTGCACACACACACGCACGTGCACATACACGAGTACATATATGTGCGTATGTAAAATGTCAATCCCATTCAAGATCTATGAAGATAACGCAGTGTGACTTCATATACAAACCCACATCATTGCAGCTAAAGGAAGTTGTTCCAATTTATACCCACCATCTTTTTACCAGTAGAGGATGCTAATGGAACTAAGTATCACTAACAATATGTGTATCCATGGCTCAATATCTCATTGTTGGATTAAGTTTATAATTTGTGGTTGTATTTACTAATTGCAGCACCTGGTGTTGCTTGCCAGTTAGCCAGGAAGAAATTTTTTTAAGATAAGTTCTCCCTACTGCAAAATGCTTTTCCTGCTGTTCCTATTTCCTATATCTAGCCCACCTACTTTAATGGTATAATTTTAATTATTTTAAACTATTTCAGGATCCCTTGGTTTCTTAGTTTGTCCTAAGAAAAATTCTAAATATCAGTTCTCAACATTGATCAAAAATCAGTTAGTGGCCTGGCGAGATAGCTCAGCGGTCTAAAATGCCTGCTTAGGCAAGCTTAGGCAGGCACAGGGGGTTGCAGTTTGATCCTGGCACCACATGCTGCACCAGCCTCACCCTCAGGATAGGCTGAGCTGGCCCCCTCTCCAAAAAAAAAAAACTTATATAGAACTGGCCAGATAGTTCAGCGGACTAAAGCGCCTGCTTAGGCAGAGTGCAGCAGCCAGGTTCGATCCCCAGCCTGCCGTGCTGGCCCTGCCCCTGGGATGCACTGAGACACAACTGAGACTGGGCATGGTGGTGCATACCTATAATCCCAGTGCTTGGGAGGCTAAAAACAGGAGAATCACTACAATCTATGTAGTGAGACCCTGTAATAAAATAAATGGAAAAAAAAACAAACAGTGTCTTTTTGAACTTTAGCTCTGAACTGTTCCACATCTGGACTTAGAAACTCTAAATTTTTATTTTCTATTTTATCAGTAACTTATTTAGGTAGTGAAATATGATTAGAAAATTTTGTATTCTAGGACTTAAAGATATTAAATGATAAATTTAATGTTTAGCTATTGAGATAGTTAGCTTACTAATCACTGGGTGTATCATTTCTCTTATAGGTAGTTATTTATGAAAAGCCTTTCTTTGAAGGACGATGTATGGAACTAGAAACAGAACTGTGCAGTGTTATCACAGAGGGAGGCAAGACAGAGGAAGCCACTGGAGATGGTCATTTGCCCCTTCTGTCTGTGGGCTCTATGAAAGTACTCAGAGGCATGTAAGTACACAGGGCTAACTGGTAGGGACTTTTTTTTTCCCCTAACCAAGTAATCAGTGTGTCCCACTTTTCTGCTAAGACAGGATTTCTGGTTCTCTGGCATGGTGAATGTAGACAGCTATACCCAAGTGTCCTCAGCCTATAGTGACTTAAGAGTTGAGAAAGTAGTTGGAAGGGTCAGTCCTAACAGTAAGGCCCATGAACTGGTCCTGCAGCAATCTTATTAGGATTATGCACCAAGCTACTAAACTGATTGTTTGCTTTCTAATTCTTACGATCTTTTTGAATTTTATAAATATTGTATATTTTTCTATAAATGTAAACACTTATAAATAGCAAAAGAATCCAATTTAACTCAAGGACAGTTTATCCAGCTTCATTTGCTGAGGTTCAAGTCGGTTGAAACACACATACACGTACACACACACACACACACACACACCCTTGCACCCTTTTACAGAATTCTGATATGTATGTCTTCGGTTGATTTTTTTTTGAACAGGTTCTTCTAAGTTTTAGAGAATTCCAATAGTATAGTAACATATAAATTCATGTCTATATGCATTTATCCATGAAACTGATATATACATGGGAAAAATTAGATGTCTGAAAATCACTACATCTTCCTATTTTTTTTCTTGCAGATGGGTTGCTTATGAGAAGCCTGGATTTACAGGTCATCAGTATTTGCTAGAAGAAGGCGAATACAGGGACTGGAAAGACTGGGGCGGTTACAGTGGAGAACTTCAGTCTTTACGACCTATATTAGGTGTAAGTTAAAGAAGAGCTGATGACTAGTACTTGTTATTTTTGTCTAATTCAGTGACTGTCCTTTGAATTTTGAAATTTTTTTCTCAATAGGATTTTTCAAATGCTCACATGATAATGTACAGTGAAAAAAACTTCAGTTCTAAAGGTTCCAGTATTGATGTATTAGGAATTGTTGCTAACTTAAAGGAGACCGGATATGGAGTGAAGACACAGTCTATTAATGTACTGAGTGGAGTGTAAGTAAAAATAGTCAAGATTTTAAACATGGGTTTTCCCTTGATTTATGTTATGTTAAACTAGTAGTAGTCTGGGTCACAGACTGACACAGAATAGGCAGGCAGAAAATTAATATCCCAATATTAATTCAGATATAAATGAGTAGCTAAACATTAATTCACTCAATATCATTTTCATATCTGCTTTAAAATGTTTCTCTTATAATTACACATAATAAATTGTTGGTGTAGAGTTTTGGGCCTCTCGATAGTAATCTACAGATCCACTTTATCATTCTGCATGAAAAGTTCATGAATATCTTATTATAGGAATTAAACAATGATACTAACCTAACATTAGAAACCTGAGGTGGGAGAAGTCCCATTAGATTTTTCCTTATGGTCCTATACCTGCAGTAGTATTTCTTCATTATTATATTATTTCTTCATTATAATATTTCTTCATTATTGCCTTGATGTTAAAATAATTGTTTCAGTGTACCTAGAGTTATCAATTCAATTCTTTATTAATGGCAAAGGAAGTTTTTATTAAAAATTTTTAATCTTTTATTAAAAGATGACCAGTCAAGACTCATTATGGGATGCAAGTGATGGTAAGCCAAGCTTTGTAGGCTTAAGACATAAAAATGAAACTCTTTGGCTTACGTAAGTGGAAAGTCCTAGAAACAGCTTTGCTGTAGGCATGGCAGGACCGATGGGATTGACACTGCCATCAGAAGTTGGTCTCTGAGCCAGGCATGGTGGCGCACACCTGTAATCCCAGTACTTGGTAGGCAGAGGTAGGAGGATTGTTGCAAGTTTGAGACCAGCGTGGGCTATAAAGTGAGCTTAAGCCCAGCCCGAATTGCATAATGTGATCCTGTCTCAAAGACAAAAAAGGAAAAGAGGAAAGGAAAGGAAAAACTTAGTCTCTTGTTTCTGGATTTTTTTTCTATGCTTGTTTTATATGAGGCGGGCTCTTTACATTTGGTGATTTGTGGCCACATCTGGCTTTTGTTGTCACATCTCACTGCTTACAGTAGGAAAGGCTTCTCTTTCCCTCACAAGTCCCGAGTTTGACTGACTCCTGCGTCATGGATCATGTGCATGTCTCATCCCACTACTGCAGACAAGGAGGTGGCTGTGCCTGTATGCTGTGCCCATCCCTAGAGCTGATCTATAGTCTCCACCCCACAGGAGCCATTTAGATATGACGGAGAGAGCAGAAGGAGTAAGGGCAGATGCCAGATGGGTAGAAACAGCAGATGTCTATGACAGAAAGTTTTTGCTTTCTTTTGTTTCCATCCTTCCCCTCTCCTTTGTGGCACTAGGGATCAAACCTAAAACCTTAAGTGTGCTTGGCCACATCCATATTGTACCACTAAGCTACAACCCACCCCCATAATTATTTTTATAATGCAGGCAGGCATTTGTTATAAATGAAAGTGTTCTTAAACAGTTCTATGAAATAATTTGATCTTGGTTCTACTGAAGGTGATTTGTATTGGGATTTTTGAAGTCATGAGTGACATAGGCTGTTTGAATTAGTCTATCCTCAAACCTTGAAAGAGCCCAAATGAGTCACTAACCCAACCCCCAACAGGAAGAGACCTTGTCTTGTATTCCTGCCCCCTTGCTATGTGACTCGCTTCCCCATTTGATACTGCATTTAATCAATTTTAGCTGAGCAGTGGTGCTTGTAATCTCACTGGTTGACCACAGTTTTGTCCTACCTCATGTCCACCTACGCGAGTTCCCATGTTCAACACTACCTTAGACCCGCCTCACCACATGGTGTTCTTCTATTAAAAAATCCCTGAAAGAGATAGCTTCCCGGGGATCACCCACTTGGGGGCCCCTTCCTGTCCCTCTCTTGGACAGGAGCTTTCTTTCCCCCAATAAATATATTCTGCTCATTTAAAAAAAAAAATAAGATTTCATGGTGTTGCCTTCCACAGTAAGACTGGATATTTGAGATATGTTTACAATGTAATGTACTTTTCTGTTAGTCATGCTTAGATTTTTATATAGACTGTTACTTGTGGTGCCATCTTGGCAGAATGACAGCAATTCCAGATCTTTCCAGGTAGAAACCACCTTCTTTTGGGTCTTATTCTGGTGCTCAGTCCTTTTAGAATCACAGTTGACTCTCTACAAAAGGCAGGTCATTTAAAATGGTGTTATGGCTCTGCGGTATTTTAGATTGCCTTAATAACTGTATAGGAGAAAAATATAGCAACCACCTTAGTCTGGTGAAAGTGGACATTTCCATGCTTACCAGGTATGCTAGTTCCTTTGGTCATAGGCCAGTCATTTCCTTAGCCAAGGGGGCCAAGGAATTGTGGGTAGAATTCCCTCAGGACTTCTGTCTGATGGTTTTAGCATAGGTAGAATTATTGTGCCTTGAGTCAGTCTCCTTTCCTTTTTTTACCCAACCTCTGCTTACCTGAAATCAGTTTCCTTTATACGACACTGCTTTTATATGTTTCTATATTTAGTTATTTCTGGTTGCATTTCCTGGCTTAAGGCTGTTTTTTTTTTTTTCCTGGTTGTAACAGTTGAGCTTTGATAGCACAGGGAATTGAAAAGCAGTACATACATGTACAAACTGCTTCCTTTTATATTCTTTGGATCTGGAAGGGCTTCTGTACTTATCATGGCCAGCTGTTTCCTTGTTATTTGGCAGACTTTTTTATTGAGTTCTATTGTGTGCAAAGCATTCTATTATGTCCTCAAACAAGTTACAGTATTTATATAAAATGGAATTATTGCTACAAAAGAGGTAGAGATTAAATCCACTTGGAATGGCACATCAGAGGGATTAATTTGCAATGTGGATATAAACAAGACTTGGTGTAGAAACTTGAGTTGGAGCATTTAGGATATGAAAGCTAAGGTGTGCCCAAGCTAACCTATTTGTTTTTAATAGTTTTAAAGAAAAAAAAATTATTAGTGCCTTTAGCTTGAAGAGCAAGTAAGCATTTTAGTTATTTCTTAGCATGAAAATCAATCAGAAAAAAATCTTTTTTGAAATTCTTGTTCTATGAAAGTGTCTCCCAGAAGCTTCCTTATCACATAGGCAATAAGTTCCTTGGGCAATAAACTATCAGCTTGGACACAGAGAGCCTCCAGGAACAACACCCACAAGGACCACTGAGGTGTGGAGCAGCTGCATTTCTTGTTGGGATGTTGAATCCTTCACACAGCCCTGTGTATCAATTCCTGATTCAGTGCTGTGCTCTTGCTTAAATGGTAGAAACGGATAATTTTTCTAAAACAATGAGCAAAATGTATTTTAGGGTTCAGGTAAAAAATACAAATGCTATTTTAAATTCTCCTTCAGCGTTCTACAGAATGGTGGGTTTGCCCTCTGCCTTTAAATTCTAGACAGTCATTCCTCAGGCTGGGCTCTGCTAGTGCTTGCACTCTCTCCCCTTCTGTCAGTCTTTAAACAGAGAAGCATTGATACAGAAGTCCAGAATACCTTTGAACAAGGCCAGTGAGGAATTTATATATTCTCTCTCTCTCTCTCTCTCTCTCTCTCTCTCTCTCTCTCTCTCTCTCTGTATTTAGTACGGGGTCTACAGGGTCTCACCACACAGGTTAGACTCGTAGTGATCCTCCTGTTTTCAGTCTCCTAAGAGCTGGGATTACAGGTGCGCACCACCCCGACACCCTAGGGATTGAACCACAGCTGCTGTGTTCTGCCTAGTCACCTTAGTCCACTGAGCTGTTGGGCCGGCCCTAAGTGTCTTTTTTTTTTTTTGGCAGAACCGAGGATTGAACTCAGGCCCTTGCACTTGCCAGGCAAGCGCTTATTTTACTGAGCTATCTCCCTGGCCC